CATCATTCTGAAGGACATAATTTTTATTATAATACAATACAAATTTATTATAATACATAGATATATGTATTATAATAAATTTGTAACTGAGTCGAATCTGTACATTAAATATTTTTTTTGGAAAATCTTACTAAAATCGTCATTATTATCTATACAGAGGCCGAATCTATATTTTTTAGAATTCTTGTCTGTCTGTCTGGCTGGCTGTCTGTCTGTCCGTCCGTCCGTCCGTCCGTCCGTCTGTCTGTCTGTCTGGGAACGCATCACGAGAAAACCACCGGATAGATTTTAATGAAATTTGGTATGGTGATAGCTGGTTATCCGGGTCAATATATAGGACTTCAAATTACTTTTTACTGCGGAAAAATATATCATCTCTGCGAAATCTATACTAAGCGTTAAAACATAACTATGGACGAACCCGAGCGTAGCGAGGTTAAGGCTTGTCGTTAAAAAACAAGATCCTAGAACAAGAAATCTAGTGAATTTTAAATAAATGGACCATAATTTCTGTGTCTTCTAACGTTTTTAATATGGTAATAAGTAATTTATTTTATTATCTGAACTTTTTAAGTGTTAATAACCAAATGATTATTATGTAAATCTGTAAACGATGCACGTACCAGCTCATTAAAGGAATTTGTCAGAGTAGACAAGACGATGTGTAGTTTTATGGAGACATAAATAAAATTAGTAGTCATTTGTATTTAAATAATAGTAAGGGTTATCTATTAACTTGCTTTTAAGAACAACAGGTCAGGCGATTTGTCTCTTTACGAGATAAAAATGTATGGAGGTTTCTCCTAATAGGTAATGCTGAGTTTTTCTCACGCTACGTACCTACATAATATGTGAAAGTTTAGATCAAACAAACCTGTTGTAATTATTTTATAATATATACTTATAGGTAATATGGTCCACCGTCCACCAGACTACGTCATCACCTGGCCAGGATGGTGGACCTCATCCCCATCGCACTCAAGGGAAGCCCGTCCCCAGCATTAGGACGTTAAAAAAGGTTGAAATAGTTTTACGAGAATATTTAATTTTTTTAATAAAACTATCTTTTTCTACTTTTTTCGCAAACCCACAAATTATACAATGATATAATTTTGTGGATGATGAAACGTCTTAAACCTTAGTCTCTCCCGTGACCATGATTGCGTTAAAAAATATTATGCTTATGGTTTCGATAGTTTTATTTAAGATATATGTATGAAGCACTTATTGTTTATGAAGTTTAATTTATGTGGATATATTTTTATTATATTAACACTCGTAGTTTCCTATTTAAGTAAATACATATCAACGGTATGTTAAATTAGTACCTACTGCCTACTTTATTCAAGATGGCAGATTAATTTTCAAATCTATATGTAGGTATAGTAAAATTCTAACTGAGTCGACTCTGTACATTAAATATTTTTAGAAGATCTTACTGAAATAGTCATTACTATTGATACAGAGGCCGAATCTATAGTTTTTAGAATTTTTATCTGTCTGTCTATCTGTCTGGGAACGCATCGCGAGAAAACCACTTGACAGATTTTGATGAAATTTGGTATGATGATAGGTAGTTATCCGGGTCAACATAGGATACTTTTTACTGTGGGAAAAACCGTTAAAACATAGGTATCTATAGACGAACCCGAGCGGAGCGAGGGTGAGTAGCTAGTAGCACATAATATTATACTGAGTATTATAGAGACAGCACGTTTTAAACGACATTCATAGGAAAATAAAAGTAGGAATAATGCAAGATACGAGATATGAATTCGTCTCATTCTCTTTCCAAAGTGAGTCTTCTAATGTGCTTACCATTGTCATCAAAATATTGAAAGTAAAAGTGCATAAGTAGGTATGTACTCTTACTTTTAATATGATAACCACTTGCTCATATTATGGTAAAGGAAAACGGCGTGAGGAAATCTACGTGTTTTCGAGAAAGTGGTTTAAAAGATATCTAACATATGGTCTGCGTGGTGGACTATGACTTCCCCCTTAACATTCACGGACGATCCGTGCCCAGCAGTCGGACGTTCATAGGGCTGAATTATTTTGCTTCATTTAATAGTAATAATATCAATGTTTATTCTAATTTAAGAAAACATAACTAAAATGCAACATTTTCTTAGAATTTCCATCAGAAAGTTAAATCTTTATACGTACATAAATATTTTTGTATGCAACAGTAGAACAATAACAAGATGGACGAATTATTATTTATATCTACTAATATTAAATACTTTCGTATTACAGATTATAACGAAATAACTGTGCAAACCTTAATTCCTCTTGCCTTTAAACAAAACAAACGAGGTAATTCAAATTTTTATTTCGAAACATTCGGGTCATAAGATGAAAAACAATCAAAAACCACGTTGCGACAGAGCAATGTCGGCGGACAAAAATATTTTTATTTGTTAAACTTATCCTTTTATCTTAATTTACTGCTTTTTAAATTTTAAACGCTCTTACGACAATACCGTAATACAGTTTATTACAAAAGCTAATATGCCGCAAGCCTTTAATGATTGTCGCGAGTAAATGTGTCTTGTTAAGAAAATGCTGTAGGTTGTAAGGTAAATTGCTCTGAAAACTTATCTGTCGATTATATTCATTTAAGGTTTTTTTTATTGACAGCTGTCAAGCAAATGAGGTTGTACCAGTAACCTATATCCTTGTGTATTTTTCAAACCAGTCTCTCCCGTGACCATCTCCGAAAAGATAGTTTTATTTAAAAAGTCAAATATTTATTTTCACTCAAATTGAGTTTGAGTAGTTGCAACGTAAAGAAGTAACAAACACGTTTTATGATACCTATTAATTTGCTTGTAGTTCTCTACATATATTTTTGTATTCAGTCCTTTTTAAAGTCCCACTGCTGGGCACGGGCCTCCTTCCAATACGAAGGAGATAAGGCGAATTTCACATGTCTTTCGAAAACTTGTTAAGTTCTCACATACTTTTTTAAAGAAGAAGCAGTTTTACTCATGTTGGTTTCCTTTACCATAAGAAAAGAGACCCGGGATTTGAAGGTATATACCTATATATATATTAAGCACTATAATTTTTTTTTAAACTTGTACACAAAATAAATAAAAATAATATTATTTTGTTTCAATCCTACATAATATCATAATTCATTATATCTACCTAATTTTTTATTATTAAAGGCATAGGCAAAAGTCAAAACCAAATAAAAAAAGTAGGTACTTACATAATAATAAAAAAAAATAGAATTTTTATAAACCGTAACTAAAATCACAGATTAGTAATTTATTGCCTGCTCATTAGGTTTTTTATATGACAGGTGATTATTAACGAGTTACCTACTTCAAGAAATCGAATCTATTATAAAAAGTTCCTTCCATACATTTTAAATATTTTATTTAATTAAATAAGAATACTTAAGCCCGTGCTTTATAATAAATAGCCAAATATACAGTATTTAACTGTATACTTAAGATAGGTTTAAAATGAAAGTAAAAAAATGATAAACTGTTTTACCGTTACCAAAATAATAAGATATTTTCAAAATATAAGATATCTTAATGACTGAGTTTATTTTATTTGAATACGTTAACCGATCGTATTTAAAATTATACCTATCTATATTTCGTATTTATGTTACACTAGCTTTAATAACAACTAGCGAGTCACCCTCGCTTCGCTCGGGTTCGTCCCTGATTTAATTCCCCATACAAATTTCATCCCAATTTTCACCCCCTTGAGGGATGATTTCCGGGATAAAAAGTATCTTATGTCCTTCCCAGGGTCACAAACTATCTTCTTACCAAATTTCATCTAAATCGTTTCAGTAGATCCAGAGATTACCCCCTACAACATCACAAACTTTACCTCTTTATAGTAATATTCGTATAAGTCTGAATTAAAGTATAAAATCCATGATATTTGCAAGCACATTTATGAAAACAAAATGTTTTGCAATTTAATGATACCGAAGTAAATAAAAATAGCAGGAAGTGTTTATAACAATTGCAAAGTAGGTACATAGCTATGCAAATTTTTAGATATAATATATTTTTCAGATTTAAATAAAAGAAGAAAATCTTTAATAAACTTATATTCAATATCAAGAAAAACTACGTAGTAATAGGAAAACGATTCAATAATAAATTTAAAATATTTTTATCTAATGCGGTTTTGGTACGTACTTAGGTAAATATTTTATGCCACTTATATTTTATATAGCATTTGTGTATGTTTAAATACAATTTTTTCATTATTGTACCTATTGCAATATTTTCCTTTTATTTATCAACTAATTAAATCTATTTTTTAATAAAAGTATTATTCTAACATTTTTTTATATATTTTCGATGCCACTCAAAATAATTACGGATGTTTGAAAAGTGCACAAAGTTTAATTATAATGTATTTTACTATTTAAATGTTAAAATTAAAAGAAATAGTTATATAGAATAAGGGACTTAATTACTAGGTATCTTACCTTTAAATGAGTTACCATTGTTTCTCTCGCCTTTAGAAACATCAGAGAAAACAACAACCGAAACGGAAATAAAAAATATTAGTTATAAACAAAATTAAACACGCGAAAGCGTTCTATCACAAATCTTTGGCATTGTTTCACCAGTTACAGTCACAAAAGCACACACACAAACAAATAAAAAGAATAGTCCAACACAAAACGGTAATAGTTCGTGATGATACGATCGTATTCGATATCGAAACGTAAAACACGTCCGTCGATTGCAAACTGTCGACACACAATGCTGCCAGATCGAAGCGCGTCGACAATACGCGCGCGCTACAATGACCGCCTCCCCGCGCCGCGCGACAAGGACGCACCGAACTAATGTCACTGCCCTATTAACAATACCGTCCTTCCACCACCTTATGGCGAAACTAACAAACGAACACCTACATCTGACTCACTAGAAACCATCTAGGAAGCCTCAAGAAGCTGCTAGAGATAACATTTTCCCATCTTCTATTTAGAAGTGCGTTTAAAATCAATTGTCTCTGCGGAATAACAGCGCGGTATCTATACAAAAGCTGTTTCCGTCCTTTTCTAGCGGACGGTATTGTGTGCGTATTGGGTGCTCCGTCTCGCTCGGCAGGCGTGTTGGTAGAGCGTTGTCTCGCTCTAAGCCCCGCCCCCCGGCGTCTTTGAGTGTGCCGACGCGACGGTGCAGTGTGCGTTGCGCGGTGAACAGCCGAGCATTGTCGAACAATTCGCACACAACCAAAACCAGGTGGGAGTGCGATCTACGAGGGCGTTTAAAAAGTCGATACAATCGCTTTTACATTTGTATTTGTGAAGAAAATTTTCTTTATTCCCACAGTAGTGGAACTGGGCGTGTTTGCTTTGTTGGCGAGGCGTGGCCAGCGGAAAACGTTCTATTGTACGCGAGCGATTGTACCATTGGCGCGTCTATTGTTGTTCTGACAACGGACTTTCCCATCGGAGCCGCGAAATGAAATACGATGCCGCTGACGAATATTTTTAGCCACGATCGCTACCAGACAATACATTTGCATATCATTCATAAAAAGTTTCGCATTATCCACCTCCTTTAAGAACCTGTGTATGTGCGAACTGGTTTTATATTGTGATACGGTCTGCTCGATGCGGGGCTGGGTAGAAATATTCTCAAGAATATCTCCTATATATCAAGTTTTAAAAAGTCCCATACTCTGGCTTTCCAATAATATAAAAACAACTCGACCCATAGTGAAAATGATCTCTAATTAACACTGAGACCGGGCGGTAACCTCAAAATGTCAAATCGTGTGTTAGTGTCAAAAATAGAATTATTACAGTTTTAGCTCAGCTGATATTGCTGCCCCTAAAATAGTGTGGCGACGCGAGAAAAATAAAAGGATTAGGGACTGGCGTTTAGGAAATGAAATGAAATTGATGACTTTAACGATATTATTATCTACAAATAAATTTAACTAAAAAAAATTGAATACATAAAAATGGTCTTTTGAACTATTTTAGTTAAAATTATGCTAAGAATAGCTTATTATTTATTTTAATCCATACTTATTAAAAATATTTTTCTTTTCTTATATGTTTACTATTTCCAACAGCAAAGACTTTTTTATAATCTTTTATTTATTTTCAAGAGACACACAGCAACTAGACGTTATCTTGCGTTACCCAGATTTACCAAAGATTTAAAAAGTCGGCTAACTGCCTCGCCGTTATAATCTGAAAATATATCTTACACGAGACTTGAATTATTTTTATAGCCCACCGTTTTGGAAACGAGTAAAATATATAGAGTATAAAGAATAAATACATTACATCGTATTCTTCAGCTCTTTACAAGTCTCTATCTTTCTGTAAGCGGACAATGTGACCCATATAGAGCGCAGCGCAGGCGTGGAGGAATGTATGTCTCGGGGTATCTCCCACCCCCAAGGGGGTTATTATCTACGTAGGGTGTGAGGGTACCCCCAGCTTTATTATACTGGTTCCAACGAATTGCTTTTTGTTTGTGCACTGAATAGCGTATTTAGTAATGGAACTTTTTGATTTCGATCTGCTTCTGTCTGCGTTAGGTCGTTAGATATAACTTGTGATACATCTTAGTGTTTTGTGTAATATTCTTCAGTTTTTTTTTTAATATTTTCTATGTAGTAGTAATGGTAGTAGTAGCTATTTATCTCAAAAAAATTTAGTCTATTTTTCGCTATTTTTTATTTATTCAAAATGGTTAAATGTAAATTAAAATGTATAATTCTAACAATATTATTTTTACGTTTGACATAAAATGTCTAATTAAAATGAGACGAGTGGTCTGAAAATAGTCACCCTCATAAATATTATCAAAGACACCATCGAAGCAATTACTTGATTGGTTTTTGACGTTGTTTGTCATAAGACTGAAGCTCTCAGAACTTCCCAAGATAATGTTGCGATACAAACTTTGTTATATATTGACATTTGCTTTGAGTTCTTTGGTGAATGGTGTATTTGTACAGGTGTTTGACTAACGTATTGATTATTTCTCTTATCTTTTATCTGTAATTTACTGAGTGTTTATTTGCTACGTTATAATTGTATTTTTAAACGAGTTCAAACTTCAGAAGATTCTGATAACAATTTAAGAAGTCTTGAAGAGTAACATTAAAATAAAATATTTCCTTTAGTTATGATTAGATATATATATATATATAAGTATCACCTAATTTTCAATGCGATTCATAGAGAATGCTAAATACGCTTACACGATTGTATATTGTACAAACTTCAAATAAATGTGTTCGATATTCGCATGGGCGCCGGGAGGGGAGTGCAAGGGGGTGCTCTTGTACCTGCCACGAAAAATAAATAAATTTAGATATCTATATATATTCAAAAAAGATGATAAATAAGATATAGATAAAAATAAAGTTAATTATTTGAAGATTACTTAGTAGTTTAATGTGAAAAAGCAGATGCACTCCCCTGCAAATAATTCTGCCCCCGCCCATGGATATTTGTCTTTTTTATTACCCAGTTATTATAAGAATATAACAAGTTACGTATTTAAATTGCTTTGTATTAAAAGATGATGAAAACTCAACTAAATATTGTTTACTCTCGCAAATGACGAGATTCGAGATACCATCTATTTTAGACTCTATAGGACCCTATTTCAAGATAACCTGTTTATTCAACCCTTCCCTATAATCTACACAAAGTTATAACATTTTGATGGTACCTTACAAACTTTGATGCCTACCAACTATGTTAATTTATCCACAATTTTCTACAGTGATTCCCTACTATGTTATAATTATTATGATCACGATGATTCTGTGATCTGTTCCTTGAGTAAGTTAATCCTTTATACTACCTACGTATTAGAATATTAAATGCTTTGATATTACATTCATACTAATATTATAAATGTGAAAGTGTGTTGGTTTGTTTGTTTGTCTGTCTTTCTTTCACGTCGAAACTGCTTGGCGGATTGGCGTGATTTTTTGTGTGGAGATAGTTGGAGGGCTGTAGAGTGACATAGGCTACTTTTTACCGCGGGAGATTATCTCCTTCCCACGGGAAAACACGTTGTAATACAATTTAAAAACATATTTGTGATCAGAATTACTTGAAACTTGTTATAAATGCTCTTCAATACAATTAATTAAATACGTGTTTTAACATTTTCCGAAATTCATTCAACGGGGTAAAATAGCGGATGAAAGTTTGTATGAAACCGAATCTTAGAGTTTTTTTGTAGTTTTAGTTTTTTTTTTAGTTTTTAGGGTTCTGCTAGTCACCTATAATGTAAAGATATTTAAGTTCTTTTATTTATTTTTATCTTTATTTTGTATGTGCATATGTATATTGTTGTGTTCCATTGTTATACCTATTTGCATATTATGATAGAATTATGTAAATTAGTAGTTTCAAAATCTTAATAGTACCTACCTACCTAATATTGGTCCTACATATAGGGATGGCAAAAGTTTGCACACATAAGTATGTGTTTAAATGGTATTTATCAGATATTTATAATATAACCCGCAAAAAAGTATAATAAGTCCACTAAAACATGCAAAATAATCAAGAAATCATTTAAAAGTTTTAACATTTTCACCTATTTCAGAAAAATAACTAGATTATTTAGTAAACTTTCCTCATATAAACATCATAATCACATTCCATTTTCCTGTAAAAATAACTCCTAACTTACGCAAATGGGCCATTAGTCTTCGTTTCTCTCTCCCCCGCTCAATATTTCCTGGACCTAAATGTCCGTTCACTTAGTTTTTTAATGATGCTTTTACGTAAAAATCAGTAAAGTTAGTTAGTTTTTTTGATGGCGCTCTTACGGGAAAAATTGAAACCATTTACAGCACTCAAACGATTTATACTTTTAATGATTATCACGTTACCATGTTTCTAATGTGTTTCGGTCCTTTGGTAATAGGTTTTCGTAAATTTATTCTAAGAGATCTTCACATAAATGTTAAATTTGTTTTTATTCTTACTAAAATAGATTTGGTGATGCCGGCTTATATTTTAGATTGATATTGTATGATAGTTACTTCTAAATCTTATGTTCTTCAAATTTATATTGTAGGTAACCCCTAATTTGCTATTTATTTAAATCTCATACTAGCCATTTCATCATAAAAAGTATGTAGATAAGCGATAGGAGTCTAAAATTATTATTTCATATAATAGTATTATAAATAGCTCCTCTAATCATGTTACTGGTCGTAATTAGAAATCGGTTATTGTGTAAAGTTGCGATAGAATTCAGAGGTATTGGGCGGTGTCGAGGCTGACAATAGGTCATTGTGTGGAGGGCGTGCCCCATTGTCCCCTCGACCAATCAGAGCGACCCATTTAACAATAGCGCACCGAGTTGGTATGCTTCGTCAACTCTATTGTCGGATTGGTGAAGTTCAAATACAGGATTGTTATGAAATTTAATTTTGTGTGGGTTTTAATTGGACTACGTATTTATTAATGTAAAAAGTTTGTAGGTATGTGTGTGTATGTTTGTTACTCCTTCAAGCCGAAACGGCTGCACGGATTTGGATGAAACTTAGTAAACGGATAACCTGCTGTAACATATAGGCTACTCTTAGACAGCTAGGGAGTTAGAGGCTTTCAAACTCTTTAAGCTTACAAGCTCTTTAAGCTATTTTTCTTTTGCTTGGCAAGGGGTTTATTATGAAAAACGGGATATTTGTCATGTTTTTCACAGATTCGGCACTGTTGCAAGCGCCAAGGTCACGGGGTAGGTATAAGTCGTAATTTTAATTTAAATGCTTTAGGTATTATAACACATGATAAAAAATAATTTAATAGCACTTTTTATTGAAATTGCTAACGAAAATAAAAACAAGTAGGTACCTACCTACCTACCTACGAATAAACATAAAAATATTTATTTTTAGATTTAGTAGAATCGTTGATACATCCTACATAAGATATTCACCAAAAGTTTGATTTAGTATTTATGTTTTGCATTTAGCAATTTTTCAATTAACACTTTTCACTTAAAATTAGGCTTTGATAAAAATAATATTTGAAGGCATTTTTTAAATTGCTTAAATAGGGATTATGATTTTGGGACTAAGAATGTACCTATTAGCAAAATTAAATACAAGAAATCAGATAGTTTTTTTCTTCTAGGTGTCTAAGTCTAATATCTTGACATATTTAGTAAACAATAAACATTTTATAACCTATACGAAGAGATATGGTTAAAGCTTTGCAAAGCTTTTAAAATCAAAAGTTTTCGATTGATGCCATTGGAAAGAAATGATTGGGTGGCATTGTAAACTATTTATTTAGTCAAGCTATCAGTGATGCAGATCGTGTCAGAGAGTGGAAGTTATGATTAACTAGATGGTATCACAGCTAAGTATCTACAGAGCTTATTATTGTAAGTTATCTTCAAGTTATTTATATTCAATGTAAAATAACTAGTAAAATGGACTTAAACGATAC